GTTCTTCTACTTCCGCGCGTATCGCGGGGTTATATTTAAGGATCCGTTAGACTATTATTTTAGTGCTCTTGAAAGGAGACTAGTCGTTATATATCGTTTCCGGGAATAGATAGAAGCAGGCGTTAATATCGTGACTAGGTATAGCGTATACGCGGTATATCTACCCTCTTTATAGGGTAGATTAACAACGCTTAGAAGAAGAACGGTTAGCTAAAGTAGTAAAAGATATAGCTACAGGAATTTTAGCTTTATTCGTCCTACTGCTACCCTTCTTAGGCTCAGCCGTGGTATCTAAGGTATTATCGCCCTTTTCGCTTTTAGTATATAGTATAAGGAATACTATAGTGCGGTGGCTACCGCGTTTTCCTTAGTCTTTAGTCTAGTCTCGATATATTTCCAACTAAGGGTATAAAGGTCCTTGGAGAGTATTACTTTCTTATCTAACAAGCGTCCCTCGGCTTCGGTCCAGTTACGCCTAGTTATTATACACACGCCTCTAAAGAAGTCTGCTACCTAGATATATGTTACGAGCTTCGAATTAACCTTCTTAAGGCGTTATAGCAGCTCCTGCTATCTCGATAACTACTCCTATAACGTTTTAAGAGTTAATAGTACGTATAAACGTGTTCGTTATACTCTTCATAGGTATTAACGCGGCGGGGAGTTATATTGTAAGCAGTATCGCGGCGGACGGCTTTAAACACCTCTTTAGGCGTGGCGTTACATAGTAGTAGCTTGCAGCTTTAGTCGATAGTATTAGTCTGCTAGCTTAAAATAGTCCTAATATCCTTAACGTACTTAGTATAGTTATCCCTTTATATCTTCTAGCGTTATATCGCCGAATCGTAGACGCGCTGCCTAGTAGGTGTTAGATCTAACCACTATAAGGGCATAGCTTCTGCTTATAGGGTTACGTGCGAAGGCTAGAAGTTAGCGTAGGAGGGTAAAATAGGCTTTTAAGGAGGGGAAATAGAATCGTTAGAGCGTAGATATTCCTAGACTTCGTTATTAACGGCCGTAGATTCGTAGTGGCTATGCTAGAGCTTCTAATCGCGATAGATTTTATAGGTATAGGCTTATACTCCGATATCTTAATAGTTATAGATTAATACGCTATACTAGCACGGCTAGATAGCTTTTTAATCGGTAGTTATAAGGGTAAAGGGTAGATTTTCAATTAGTAAGTAAGACTCTTAATTATTAGATAAAGCATGGTCAAAAACGTCACAAAATAGGTTGAAATTAATTAAGGTAATTATGTCCTATTATCACTGTGTGAGGACTGTTAGAGAATTCCTGCCACTGTAATATTAGTGGTAAAGATTCTGCAGGTATCCACCCGGATTATTACGTAACCGAAAAAAACTATGGTCTGTTTGACAGAGACCACCGCGCCCCCTAGAATCGAGAATAGCTAAAATTAAGGCAGAAATTCAGGCCTTACTAAAGATACTAGTAGGTCTTTTTCGGATAGGGCACTAAGGACCTTTTAAGGGATAGCCTTAGTAAAGCGTAGGGTAGGTGCGTGCGGCTAGGGCGGCTCCTTTACTACAGGCTTTCTTAATCTATTACTCCTTATAGGTGGCCTACTACTATACCCTTTCGGTAAAGGTAAAGTAGATATCTCCGCTAGGTAGCTTCTATACTGCTACGGTATCGTATCAGGTAATTATAGCGTTTATAGCTTAGATAATTTCCTTTAGTGTGCTAGCTTTAAGGGGCTAGTCCTCGGGGAGGGTTCCTTAGCGGACGATTAGTTCCCAGTAATATTTAGCGGGGATTACTTTAAAGGGGGCGGGGTCCTATAGCGGTACCGCCGCGGGAGCCCGGGCTATAATATTAGCCTAGGTCTCTTTTATACCGCTTATATCTTTTGAGAGTTCCTCTTAGATAACTTAGTAGACGGAAGCGTATAGGTATACTAGCGGTATTATACCGGCGTTATTACGGATACTATATATCGTAATTAGTTTCTCTACTAGCTTAATAACCTATTTAATCGTAGTCCTATTAGCTAGTAAGGCCTGAATTTCTGCCTTAATTTTAGCTACTCTCGGTTTTAGGGGGCGCGGTGGTCCCCTTTTAGTCTTATATCAGTTCCGCGCGGTATCCTGCCCTAAGGGGGGGGGCGCGTCTATAGTACGAAAAGTGGGTCCGTTAAGAATTATACGTGTTCGAAGTTGGGATAACGCTATCTATTAATTCCTCTAGTCGTACCGTAGCGCCGATATTACGGTGCCGCTATAATAGTATCCCGGAAGGGAGGCGGTAGTTACAGTCGCTATCTTAGTTATTTTATCGATTTTACTCTCGTTACGCGCCCGTGGTTAATAGACGTGGTGATTGTCCTTATTCTATATTATTTAGAAGCCGCGAGGGTTACATATAATCTCCGCTCCTCTTAGGAGGGTAACGTGCTAGATTACTTCCTAGTCTATAAGAGTAAGCCCGCTAAAAAAAGGCGCGTTTTAAGCCTTAAACGCCTGCCGTTACTGTTATTATTCTTGGAGATCGCCGTCCTAATACTATCTATCCTTAACTTTACTAGTAAGGTTCTTATTAATGTACTATAAGCAGATCTATTAATACACGTCGTCCTATATAGTCGTGATAGCCTTCTTTAAAGCGCGATTCAGGTTAATAATAATAACGTATAGGCGCGGGAGTATTGGTTAGTAACGTAGCTCTGTAAGACGTTGTATTAAGTATATATATATCTCCTTATCTTCCCTATTAACTAAGGTAAATCCGATATTAAATATAAACCCGACATTCGGGGTCCTATAGATATCTATTAGTAGTATATTAAAGCGGTTAGTTTTATATATATTATCTATAAAAATAATCTTAGGGTTACGTTTCTATATCTCTTCGTATTATAGTATCGTCTAAAGGATTCCTATAATACGGCCACCTAACTAGGGTATAAAGTACTTAATACCACGATTATAGAACTTAAGATAAGGGCTTATATAGGTGTATACCCTATAAGAGACTCCTTTCAACCTTTGGATATCTCGTTATAGATATCGGCACGTACCTAGATCTAGTTCGGGTATTTCTCCCTTATAATCGCCGTAATATCTCGGGCGGAGGTAAGGCTAGTCTTAAAGTGTTAATGTATCTTATTACGTTAATCTAAGGACTAGGTCCTCTTACGATAGATTAGATAAAAGGCTATATCGAGGGTGGTATCGTGGTTATATTCGGAGTTCGAGATATCTATAAACTAGCGATTATCCTTAAAGGTTATAACTATAGTAAAAGGATATCAAACCTTCCTTAAGGTCGTGTTTAGGCGAGCGCTAATAGCTTAGGATTCACGCTCGCTATCGCCGCGATCGTAGTAAAGCTCCTTCCGTCGGTATCGGCCGCTTGTATCCTTATTAGAAGATCGTCGGATTATAATAGCGGATCCGTATTCCTTTACGTAGTTATTTACGGATACTAAAAGATCGTTAAAATCTTCGTAGCCTAAGGTAAAGAAGATAGGCGGTAGAAACGCTATCGCCGTGTAATTAGCTAATCGACTACTAGATTAATTAACTAATAGATTAATTAACTAATAGATAACTTAACTAATAGGTAAATTAACTAATACGTAAATTACCTAATAGATTAAGGTTATAAAGATAGGTAGGTGGTTTAGTCGAATTAACAATAGAGGCTATAGGTGGTAAACTGGATCTTAAATTTTATTAAGTTAGAAAAGTAGGTCCACAATCAAACTACAATCGGAATAACCAATTAGTATAGTCTAAATAACTGGCCTCTATTATATTTATTAGTACTTAATACTATTATACTACCTAGTTAACCCCGCGGTACTATAACATTATCTACCTATAAGCTACAAACCACGTACTATAATTATATAGGAAAATAATAACAGAGAACTAAAAAGATATTACTAGTTAGTACGATACGGCAACGGTAAGCCTATAAGACCGTAAACGGGAACGTAATAAGAAAAACCTATAATAAGCTTTATAACGTTATAGAAAGGAAAAGAGGAAAAGGAAGAGAACCTTATCTTCTATTGACTATCTACTATTTTTACGGGTATAGGCGGAGCCTTACTCTTTCTGCCTACCGCCGGATATAGCAGGCACCTACCCCCCCCAAGAGAAGCAGAAACGCCTGCCTTACCTTTCCTTTTTATTCATTAAATAGAAAGGATAATAAGAATAGTCCCCGGGGATATAAGGAGGCCGGAGATAGCGTACCGCGGCCGCTATATAGCGAAGACGCCGCGGTACCCTTTTAGCCCCCCGCTCCCTTACTAATAATAACCGGCCTAGGCTAACCCGAACTATAGCCTACTACCCTTCCTATTAGCTACTAGCCTAAAGGTATAATCTAGATATATCAAGGAGACGAACCGGGGCTATATCGGCCTTATAGCGGTATTACTCTAACTAAGGATAAGTATAAAGGTTTTTCCCGGGATCTCGGGTTTTCCCCTTTATAGCTACCTAAGAAGGATCGTATAGTCTAAATTAGGCTCTTATAGACTAGATAGTAAAGCGGAGTAAGAATAATAATAATAATAATAATAATAATAATAATAATAATAATAATAATAATAATAATAATAATAATAATAATAATAATAATAATAATAATAATAACGATTCCGTACCTTCTATACGGACAAATTCAATACGGCACCCAGGGAGTTCAAGGCTATAGTCACGGCGCTATAGAATAGTATTCCAAACTGTCTCCCTAGAACAGCCTTTGCTTCCTCAGTGCCATTCTAGTAGCGTAGAGTGAGTACGCCCTTTGGATTTTATCTGTATCGAAAACTGATCTGAGCACAACCGCTGGAATTCATCTTTTCTTTCCCGCTGTCAGAGTAGCAATTACAAATTGATCGGCAGGACATGACATAACTCCATGTCTGCATAATGAACCAACTGTTTCCCTATTCCAATCCTCGTAATTCGACGTCCCTGGAGCCGAGACGTGATGTTTAATGTACGCAAAAGTCGCCCCAATCATTGGTTCACCAACTGTTGAACAGCCATCCTCGCGTCCCTGTTCCCAGACGCATGAAAACTGGCACCCGAGAACTGCGAAGACTCAGATACAAACTGATTATCCAGGGGGAGAAAAGGGTTGCTGGGAGTAGGTGGCTGACGACTGCCAACGGTCTCCGTCGGGTGGCCACTGGAATGGAGTAATGAGCCAACACCCGGAAGAGAGCGTGGTACGGAATCCGAAGTGGCAACGTTTCGAAGGGGAGGCAGTTGAACTGGCGGTGAAACACGCATATAGATTTCATGCGAGGATGTTGTGTAGCATGACCCCGAATCAGAAAGACATGTCGGGTCGACGTCTAGTATATCACTCCTTGGTGAGGCCGTTGAAGAGGGGGATGGTAGATTCGAAACGCAGTGATATCCGGCGTATGCATTGCCGAGGATGGACAGATGATTTGGGGATGAGTTGCGGTGGTTCGGATACGGGAGCCTATTCGAGATGGGACTAGGGGGGAACAAGGACCCCTGGAGAGAGCTGCAATGAGAATATGAGCTGTTCTCATATTTAAAGCCATATGTTGCATGATGGGCTCTTCTCCGATCATGTCGCCTTCTGCGGTTCTGATTGCCGTTCCACCAATTCTTCACGGCGTTGTCGCTCCGCCCATTGAGTTTACGTGCAATCTCGGCCCACCTCTTACCAATGGCGTTGACGAGCATTTCGATTTGCCTGCCCTCTTCGGGGGTTATCGGCTCGTGATTTAACGATGGTTTGAGATTCTGGTGATAGCGTTCCCTGCACTGCTTGGGAGTCCGCGTGCCCAATGTATTCGAGATGCGGACCCAGTTCAAAGGGCCCGGATCGCCGACTAGTCGCATCAGACAGGCGTCTTCTTGTTGTGTCCACGGCCCTCTTCGGTGCGTCATGATCAGTCTGAAATGTTGATTCGAGAGACGAGGAAGTGATGATTCGAGACAGGAGACAAAATAGCCTCTAACGGTTTGGGGCCGACGCTCCAGTCAAACGGGGGTAAAGTGGTACGGTGCTGCGACTTATGTAGCCCGAAATCATGAACATGAGCAGGATGATCGACGAAGACGGTCGAAGGGGCTCAGGGCACCAAGTTGGGGCTTATATGTAGCTACACCCATATGAGGATTTGTGTCAAACTTTGACGTGGCTTGGCAGGGGAACGCGGACATGTCGTAGGTTTTGGCGAGCCAAGTGGAAAGGCTGGCTCAGTTGCCCTATACGTCAAGATGAAAGTGAACAAGGTTAGGCGTGGCTCCAAGCCAGAAGTGAGCAAGAGGGGACGTATCAAATACGCAACAGGAGAAGAAACGCCCATCTGACGGGAGGGTGGAGCTACCGTCCGTCCGTCCATTATCTGGGGACTAAAGCGTGACAGGCATTCGCCGGACATAATGGAGTCGTCCATGATGCCACATTTAACTTCCTGATAGAGCGAGGTTGGCGCGCCACAATGCTAAATAAATCCATCTGACAACCCTCTGGACAATTGGTACTTAAGCACAGAGGAAGGCGAAAACTTGAGCTGGCGGGCGCCATCTGGGTTGTCCTAGTCTTGTGTTAACGCAATGTGGCGCCGTGACGATGCTCCGAGCATAGCATTAATCGCTTCAAGTGGTATATAATAACACGGGAAATCAGAGGTGGGCGACGCATTGCGGCAATGGCTGCCAGTGATTTGAGCACGCATGGTGGGGGAAATGATGGTTGGTGCATCAAAGGCAGAGGGATGGGAAAGGAGGTGGCAGATGCAATAACACCGGGAGAGGTAGGAGATAAAGTGGTTACTATTAGATAAAGCGTAGTCAAAATCATCACAAAATAGGTCAAAATTGATTGAGGCAATTGTGTACAATTGTAACTGTGTTAGACCGTTGTCGCACGTCAAATAGGCACTTAAATGATTAACTTAGTAGAGCAGAAATCTCGTGTGTGTGTATTATATTAAGTTATATCCGTGTAAGTCTCTTATACCCTTAATTTAGGTGGTGAAGACTCTGTTATAGGTACTATATCATTTAGATCCTATCCGGTCTTTTCCGGTATCCGCCCCTGTTATATCCTGATACTCGAGGTCCGAAGCCCTTAGTTAGGGAGTAGATCCCCCCTAGATCCCCTATAGACCACGTCGTGATCCTGCCTATACTTAGTTAAGGTAGGTCTTTCTAGGTTAACTAACTAATCAGAGGCTTCGGTTTAAACTAAATACTCTTAACTTTTCTATCGTAAAATTAATAGTTAAGGGAAAAAACGCCCTTATAAAAGGGATCTAAATCCGCCTTATTTAACCGTTTAATTTATATCTATCTTAATTAGTTCCTTAAACCTAATTAGCCGGATCTACTTAATCGGATCTATATCTATTAGATCTACTACGCCCTTAGGGGCCCTTATTATTATTATAGCTTTAGCGTGTTCGATCTCTTCGTATAGTGATTTTAACTACTCGATACGATCCATTTAATCTGTTAAATTAAGCTATTATTATAGTTATTTAATCCCCGCCTCCGGTAATACCTTTATTAAGCCGTCCGTGATTATATCCCTTATATTAATATATATAACCTTAAATAGACCTTATTATTCTAACTAGCGCGCCTACTAGTTATAAATATCGATATACCGTAGCCTTATTCGTAGCTGTTATACCTTCTTATTAATAAGGTTAATAGTCTACTAATTATCGTAGTATAGCTATAGTTATTATTAATCTAACCGAAGCTTTAGATCCCTTAATATCCGACTAATAAATAACGTCTCCTTAACGGCCTTTATAAGAGTAAGTAGTTCTAACTCTATTAATAACATCGTAATTATTGGTTATTTACCCGCTTTCTAGTTAATAATACCGCCGAAAAGCTTTATCGTGTATCCTTAGGAGCTTTTACGGTTTAGATTATCCCCGAAGGACGCGTCGCTTACGGTTAGGAAGAGTCTATCCCCACCGAATTCCAGGTAGTAGTGCCTTATATAGTATAAGAATAGTAGCACTTATTAAGCCCTCTTAAGGTGGTTAGAGGAGGGGTTAACATTATATTAGGAAAGCTTTAAATAGGCGAACACGATATCGGGTCTTATCACGATAGCGGTATACATGATACAACCGATTATACCCTAATACTAATAAACCTCGGGAATTAACGGGCGTATACTATCGTATAGTATTAATAGCTTTATAGATAATAGGACCTTTAGTGGTTTTCGGTAAACTATATCTACGTAGTATTTAACCCGATCTTCTCCACGTAAGAGGATTATAATAGCTATAACCTACGGGTGGCTCTATCCCTTAGGACCTTAATTCCTAGGAACTAACGGATTTCTTCGCCTCCTAATAACCTATAGCTTCGCTTAAGGGCGGCCTTAAGGTTATCGGCGTTAGTCTTATAGTCTTTATAGTATATAAAACCGATATTATCGATATAGAAGAATAGGATTAAACCGTCGCGGATTATAATATAGGGGTTATTAGGTATAGCCGTAAATCCTATCTTCTATAGCGTGCCGCTAAATTCCTCTTACTATAGTAGTAATAATACCCTTAAACCGAAGAGGGCTTTGTATAGTAGTAGTACCTTACCTGGCACTTCGTAGCCTTATAGTATCTTTATAAATACTTCCTCCTTAAGGCTAGCATTAACGAACGCGTTAATAGCATCGAACTACCTTATTTCTATATTAAATCGGGCGGCGATCGCTATTAGTATACGGAAGGACCGCGAGGCTAATATAGCGGCGTAGTTATCTTTAGTCTCTAACTATTTTTATTAATCTCCTTATACTATAAGGCGTGCCTTATACTTAAGGAGGGTGCCCTCCTTATTAAATTCATAGGTGTATACCTATCTATAGGCGAGGACTTATTACTTATTAGCCTAATTACTACCTACCTCCTATTAGTAGCCTATCTATCGGTAACCCTTAAGGCATTCCCCCTCGGCCTATAATTACTGCTCCTATAACGGGTAGAGCCGTATATCGTGGTAGTGGTTTAGCGGAGGCGGGAGATCCTCGCGGGTTAGGCGCGATAGCGGCTAGGAGGCGTTGGAGGGAGAGGGATTTATAGTACCGATATCGCCGTTATTAATAACTTACTTCCTTACACGTATAGAGTTATAAGTCCTTCTAGCGTTAAAGAACGCCTTCTAGGCGTTATCGTTCTATACTTTCTCGGTCTTATAGGTACTTATAATAGTTCTTATAATAGATAGGCGCGCGGGTAATAGACGCGCAGCCGATAAGCATATAGCCGATAGGCACCCTTTAGGGGTATCCGCGGCTACCCGTTAATAGTTATCGTCTCCTTCTACCTTAACGCCCTTAACTACCGCTAACGCTATAAGGAACGCGCGCGCAGGATCTTCTAGGGATATTAGAGGCGTAGGAAATGGTTTAAACCTCGTAGTAGTAAACCGTGGAGTATCCGTACTAATAGCGGTATTTTTTTCCGTAGTAATAGCGGTACCTATAATAATAGCGGTAGCCTCTCTCGTAATAATAACGGCCTTACCTTTATCCGTAGTAATAGCGGTGGCGTTAGAGTCTTCTAACTTAAGATCTAATACGTCTACGGCTATACCCCTTAATAGCAGCCTATTCGCGGTCGTGATATCGTTAGATTAGGTGATACGGATAGATTATAGGTATTCCCTGATTTCCCTGGCGGAAGCTATAGCTTATAGCGTTTTAATCCTACCGTTAAAGGTCTTATCTTTATTAAAGATCGCGTCTTTTATAGTAATAATATCCGTTAGATATAGTAGCTATACGCGGAAGCTATTCGAGGAATAGTATCTAATATAATATCCGATCTATACCTTCGGTTTTAGCCTTTATAGGTGGTTCCTTTTAGCTTAGGTATCGCACGTTATTATAAAGACTTTATAGTCGTATACTTATAGATATGTAAGGTTAGGTTAACGGCTATATAGGCCTTCGTATAGTGTATTCTAGTCGTTAATATATCGTGGTATTCTATTATATAGATATATAGTAGTCTTAAAGATCTTAGGCTAAATAAACGTAGGCAGATTAGCCTTAATCCTGATAGCCCTTGCCCTCCTTTTAACGATACCTCTAATCCGTTCTATAACGCCGTTTTAATTCTATAAATATAGTGCCGACGGCTAACCTTCTACCCCCTTAGTAGCGAGGAAAGCAACGACGTCTAGGTGCTAAAATATCTCGGAATCGGCCCGTAGAACGCGTGGCCTAGTATCGAATTAGGTCTTAAGTAGGGTAAAAACGTCCTTTAATACGTGCAGGATAAAGCCTTAGTCTCTCTTCTATAAGTAGTAATCCTACGTATAGCCTATATACACGTCTATAACGAATATAATAGACTTATATAGGCCGCTTAGCGATTTCGACTCTTCTAAATCGTGAAAATTAATAGCTAGGGCCTCTCCGGACTTTAACGGGTAAAGGGATAGTATCCGCCGGATTTACGTAGGCACTTACGATTACCTATACGCGTTATAGTCCGTTATACGTAGTCCTTTTATCTTTACCCCCTAAGTAGCGTCGACGATCTTTATAAGAGTATCGGTACCGTAGTGGCTAAGGCGTTTATACTATTATTATACCGTGGTCTTTTACAGTTACCGCGGTTATCGTGATCTTCTATACTAGTTATCGCGGGGGTGCCTTACTAAGACCGCGAACGCGGTAACGGCCGTGGCTTCCGCGCGCTCGATTATATACTAGCCGTGGATATCTAGTAGCTTATAGATAGGCCGGTTATTAGCGGAGCTAGAAATAGTATCGTTTACGGTATCCTAGCAGTAATCTTATTATTATTATTATTAATCTTACTCCGCTATCTCACTAATCTATCTATAGGAGCCTTTCTAGGCTATACAGTCCTTCTCGGGTGGCTTATAGAGGGGAAAACCTA